ACAGGCATGGGGGCACAGCCAGGGGACCAGGAAGTTGGCTTTTGTTTCAGTGTTTTGTGAAAATTCTTGCCAAAATAAAGATGAGCTGGTGTGCTGGTGTACTGGTGTGTTGTGTGTGTTCTGGAACTAGTGAGTATAGCATATGGAACATGGCTCATTGGTCATCTTAGATCTATTGCGTGTTTTCTTTCTGTGGATGCTGTTTTGGTGGAGTGCAGTGGACATGGAGGACAGTACCGTGGGGGGGGAGGGGCACAACATCGCAGAGCCCTGTCTGCCAGCAGCTGCCCGGGCCTCGCTGCCTGTGGCTTCTGGCCTGTGATGGAAGAAGTAGGCAGGGAAGTGGCCGGCAGATATATGAGGCCCACGTGGGCTCCTGATGCCACATGGGCAGTGTCTCAGGGTTTAGGCTTGGTGGTGGTATAGAGGGCAGTGGGGTGGGTGGAGGGGGGATCTTTTACTAGACCACATTCCAAGCCAAGGAGAACCCACTCTTCCCCGCTGCGCCTCAAGCCACGCGGCGCAACTCACTGCAGCTTGGAGGCCCCGAGTGAGACTCCAGGCCACGCTAGGCAGAACAAAAATGCGCTGTGAAGTTGGTGTAATTAAGAATGGAATCAGACTCAGTGCACACAGACGACGAAGACCTGAACTTGGAGCAGTCATTAGGAGATGGGAACGTTTTGTAACTGGTGTGATTTCCTGCCTCACGAGCTGTCCTCCTGGCCCAGGGGAGACCCCCGGGAAGTGGCTGAGGCAGACTGAGGCAGAGCCCCGCGGTGGTGTAATTGGGCCTGCTAATTGCAGTCCCCATGCTGTCCTGTAGCTCATTAGCTGGCTTTGTAGGGTCTGAGGTAAGATGAGCTAAGAACACCCCCTTCCTCTCTACCCTTCCTCTCCCTACTCCACCTCCAGGGGTAAAGGGTCCTACCCCTGCAGGCCCTGGGGCTGGATGGAGGGCAGCTCTCTATGGAAGTTGCCCTTCTGGGGACTGGAGTGGGCAGATGGTCAGCAGCACTTCCAGTGTCTGCCTCCCTGGGCATCCCTCCCATCACATGTAGCTGGGGATGGCACTCTGAGGATGTGAAGGGTTCCTTTAAACTCACAGCTCTGCTTGTGGCACAGGAATGGTCGGTGCCCAGGGCCCAGGCTTCCCAGGCCAGGAGAACTCGGGACCCCCAGCCACCCTCCACCCCTTGCTCTGCAGGTGCTGCTCTTCAGGGCTGGCTCACCCAATGGCAGGAGGTTGCAAACCTTGCTCCTCAAACACTGCCCCAAAACCTTGGAAACTTAAATGCAAAAAAAAGGCAGGTAATTCCGCAGTGATGCCTCCTGGCTGGCCAGCCTTCCCTGGCCACCCCTCTTCCCCGACGCCCCTGTCTTCTGGGCTGCCCCTCACAGTGGGGGTGTCTGTTACTGCTCTGGTTTCCCCAGGAGCTGGCTTGGCATCTTGTGACTTCTAAATCCCAGGCAAAAACACTCTGAGAGCTTTTTGGAGTTTTTATTTGCTAATTAAAATGTGAGAAGGGAATGTAGCCACAGGTAGAGTTCTGTGCAAGCCACAGCTGTGATTTTAAAAAAGCCCCAAATCTTACTGCTCCAAAATGAAGTTATTAGCACCTCACCTCTAGCTGCGAATGCTTTAACTCTGTGGGCTATCTCTGAAGCTCCTGCTCCCCGCCCCGTACCCAGGAAGGGGCGCTAAGCGAGGAGCAGCTCATCCTCAGAGCGCACTTGCATATCCCGCCATTTCTGGGCAACTTTTTTTTTTTTTTTTTAACTTGGTAAGAGTTTGTCTCATTCTTAGCCTTTTTCGCTTTGACAGGTCCTGGGGCTTGAACTCAGCCTTGTGCTTTTGTTCTGCTCTTTCTTGCTGGTAGTTTGGTGCTCTGCCATTTGGGCCATACCTTCAGCCTGGCCTTTTCTGGTTGTTTTAGAGATGGAGTCTCCTAGACTTTTCTTCCCAGGCTGGCTTCAAACCGTGATGCTCCAATCTCAGTCCCGAGTTATTAGGATTACATGGTAGACCACCAGTGCCCAGCTCTCTCTCTCTCTCTCTCTCTCTATTTATTTATTTAGTCTTTTCTTTTTTGGTACTGGGAATCGAACCCAGGACCTTGCGCTTGCTAGGCAAGCACTTTGCTACTGAGGTACATCCCAGCACTTTATATATTTTTTGAAATAGGATTTCTCTATGTAGCCCAGGATGGCTTTAAACTCAGCACTTCTGCTTCAGCATTCAGAGGGCTGGAATTACAGGGGTGTCTTACCACACCTGGCCACTTACTCTTCATGTCATGTGGTTTTTCAGCAGCTCTGGGAGTGAAGGCAGGGGAGATTATTTTACTGCTGGCCCAGGGAGTGAGGCCTAGTGACTTGTCACCAGGAAGAATCAAATCCACAGGGAGCTTGGGCCACCCCAGCCCTTTCTGGACACCCCAAGAGCTTCCTAGACTTCACTGATGCCCAGGGTGGGGCAAGCAAGCCTAGCTCCTCAGGAATCGGGGAAATATACAGGAATACCAAGTTCCAAGTCTTCTGTCCTTTGCAGAGTGAAATGAAGCACAGTTTATCCTGATTCTCAGAAGGGAAGCCAGCCAGATCCCATGTTCCAAGTGGCCCCAGAGCACTTCTGCCCAGGTGCACACTCATTTCGAGACCTGCCTGGCCCCCCCAGTTTGTAGCCGGCCCTCCTGGCAGCCTCCCATGGCTGGGGCTTCCTCTGCCGAGCACTGGAGCTGCGGGCTGGCTCTGCCACCGGCGCTTTCCCACAGAAGCGCAGGGAACCTTTGCCAGAGTGGCTGGTGCCCTAACAAATTGATTCCTGCCAAACAATGGAGATAAATATTTTCAACAGACAGAAATTTTGGCTCCTAACGTGCTCAAATTAAAGGCTTATTTCTGAAACAAATACTTAGAGGAAAATATTTTCACCAGCGCCGACAAGAGCAGGGCCATTCCTGTTGGCAGTGCATCATTATTTTGAGATCAGAACACAATGGTTCCCTCTTTGGCCTCATCTTTTTTTTCCTTCTGATGACCTGACCCCCCAGCTCTGGAAGAGAGGAGGGGGCATTTGGCTGGGGCGTAGGGAAGGGACGCCGCATGGTTTCCTGCTGAGAGCCCAGGGGGATTTGGGCAGAGTGAGAGCCTGATTTTCAGAACCCGCTTCATGCTGGGCCTGAGTGGCCCCGAGGCTGGCGGGCTCGGTGGACTGCCACTATCCACCCACCCACACTCCAGGCTGGTGGGACGTGCATCAGACAGGGCTGCCACGAGCCACCCGTGACTACTGACCATTGAAGTGTAGCTACTTTGACCCTCAAATCCATGGGTTCGCCCTGAGTTACCGTTTGATAGCAAGGGACCCCATCTAGACCTCATTCTGTTGACTCGATGGCTGGGGTCCCACCTGCTGGTTATCAGGCAATCCATCCGTCTCCCCCATTCATTCAGGATCATCTGAGCTTGCGCTGAGGTCCAGCGTCTGCCCAGCCACAGCAGAGCCAGTCATCGGGCTGGGCAGCAGAGGGGAGGGGACGTCTCAGCTCTCAGCCCTCCCCTGCACCAACTCTGATAGACATTCTCAACTTGTAACAAGTTCCCTTTGGTCTGTCTCCCCCTCCCCCTTTTAAATTTTATGTATGTGGCACAGAGGAATCGAACCCAGGGCCTCAGCTTGCTAGGCAAGCACTCCACCACTAAGCCACATTCCTAGTCTTGCTTTTGTTTTTGTTGTTGTTTTTTATGATCAGGTCTTGTTGTATGGCCCAGGCTATTGTAGAATTCCCCATCTTCCTGCCTCGGTTTCCCTCCTGCTTGCAGGTATTACAGGTGTGCAACCCACAGTTGACTTACTCTTGGTCTTCATGTTGAGTAAAGCGCATACTGTGTTAACCATCTCTTTGTACACAGAATTTGTCTGAGGGTCTACTGAGTGTAAATAATAACAATAACAACAATAATAAAAACCAGGAAGCTGGGCTGGGAAGGTGGCTCACTGGTAGAGCGCTTGCCTTGCATGCATGAGTCCCTGGGTTCGATTCCTCAGCACCACATAAGCAGAAAAAGCCAGAAGTGGCACTATGGCTCAAGTGTTAGAGCATAAGCCTTCAGCTGAAGAGCTCAGGGACAGCACCCAGGCTCGGAGTTCAGGCCCCACAACCAACAAAACAACAACAACAAAACAAACCCCCCAAACCAGGAAGCTGCCAGAAGCTAGTGGCTCACACCTATAATCCTAGTAACTCAGGAGGCTTGAGATCTGAGGATTGCAGTTCAAAGCCAGCCTGAGCAGGAAAGTCCCATGAAACTTATCTCCAACTAGGTAGAAGTGGAGTTGGGGCTCAAGTGGCAGAGCCCCAGCCTTGGGCAGAAAACGCTGAAGGACAGCACTCAGGCCCCGAGTTCAAGGCTCAGGAACCGCCTAGCAGCCTTAAGGTCGAGGGAGCAGGTGAGATAAGTTGGGGCCTTATTTCCTTGTTCTGAGGCACTTAGGGAGTGGCTGCCAACATTGGATCAACCTCAGCAGCCCCTCCCTCCGTCTCCTAGGATGAGTCTGTGCTCTGGCGTAGGGGTGCTACTGGGGGCAGAAATATGGGCCAAGTCAAGGGTGCCCCCATTTTGGACCTAGAGCAAGACAACTTGGGAGAGAGCAGTGGGGGCCCCAGGCAGGCAGGGTTCACCAACATGGGGCGCCCACCAGATGGATCTGGGGGGGCCAGCCAGGGGAAGAGGGGCCCATGGCAGCTTGGAGAAGGGGCAGGTCTGAGCCCTGCGGTGCGCGGGGCCCAGGGCCTGTGAGGCCGAGGACAGCTTGTGAAGCAGGAGTTTTTCTAGTTGGGAAGATGAGAGATTTTGTACCGTCCAGTTTAGCTACAGACCCCAGTCACCCCCGCTCTCCCAGAGAGGGGGGCCGTCCCCTCCTGGCCCCCCTCCTGGCCCTGGCTCTGCTGCCTGCGCCCTCCCCACCCTCCCCATCCTCCCTACCCTCCCAATCGATGGACTCCTTCATTATGCAGCCCCGCGACGCCGTCTCTCACGTCTCGCTGCTCAAATGCGAGTCTGGCAAGTCTGCTGCGGAGCGCCAGGCTTGTTGGCTGCATCTGGCATTTTTGTCTTTGCAGGGTGGGTTCTGACGGGGTGGAAAAAAAAAAAAAAGGCTCCGTGCACTCTTGAGATGTCTCCTTCCCCCAGCGGTTCACAAAGGAGCTGCTGTGGAAAGCAGGACTCAGCTCTTCACGGTGGGTCTGATCTGATACGATTTTCTGATTCGGTACCTCAGTAACAGGGTCCCACATCAAAGTTGTACATGAGCACGCATGTGTGTGTGAGAGAGATGCTGAGCTTGCCCCACACCTGTCCTCTCCCCCCCTCCCGTCTCCTTCCCACCCCTCTCCATGTCCCAGCCAGTGTCACTGCCCTGGCAGTGTAGCCTTGGCTGGGGCAGCTGTGTCCAATGTTTCTCGCTGAACTTGTGGGATTTAGAACCAAGAAACAGTCCATGTCAGACACACGAGTGCCTTCAGAACTGAAGAGGAGAATGGGCTCTCCGTGGAGGGCAAGGTGGGGTGTCTGGGGAGAGAGACGCGGTCACTCGTGCCTGGGAGTTCTCGTAGCAGTCGGTCTGCCCTGTGATTTTCCCCAAATCCCTGCTGGACTTCACCTTCCTGCCCTTCCTGCTTCCTGGGCCACAAGGACCCATGTGCTTTGCTATCTGCAGGCCTCTGAGGTGAAACCTCCATGAACAAGCCTCCTGGCTTTTCAGACAGATCTCCACACCCCAGGCCTCAGGGCCTGGCTGCCACCCTTCTTGCAGTGTCTCTTTCTGATTTGGGCCTGGAGCTGCTCTCCTGAGTGAACCCCACGCGTGTCTTCTGCGTGTCTGTCGTCATGGGCATGTATTTGCCTCGCTCTTGAACTTAGTATTTTATTTGCCAAATTCTCACTGCCTTACTGTGACTTGCCCAGCTCTCCCACAGTGAGCAAAACACTAGAGTTTGGGGAAGGAGGGACTGGGGGAGAGCCAGGAGCCAGCGTGGGGGACGGGTCCCTGAAGTGGAGTCCTGTGAGCTCCTGCCTTGAATTAAGGAGGATTCGAAAAGAGAGCACCCTGCTTGACTTGCTGATGTCAGCCCCAGGCTGCTGTCCCCCCTCACCCAGGGCTCCCCAGGGAGGAGAAGACACACCCACCCTGGCTATGGCTTGGAAGGGGGCCCAGGAGAAAGAGTCATGAGATGTGTCAGCCCCCTGGGCCTGCTCCCCTGCGCCGAAGGGCTGACGTGTGTGCACTTAAGGCATTCCACGCAACTGGTCACTGTTAAGACTTTAGATCGAAATTTCTCTCCTTGCACCCACAATTTATTTTTGAGACGGAGACTCACTATGCACCCAGGCTTTGAACTGTTGACGCTCTACCTGAGCCCCTTAGTGCTGGGATGACAGGCATGCTCCACTATGTGCAGCTCCGGTTTCTTTTACATAGGCATGCAGTTCCACAGTAGCTTTTCTTTGCTCATTTTGAATACATCTTCAGTCCTTGGCCAAGACAGAATCCCAACAGAGAGAAACAGTTGCCCTTTGAGGATCTGTCAGGATGGAGTGAAGCATCTCAGAACTGGGTACCTGCAGGAGACTGGCCTGCTCCCAGCAGCACCAGAAGCCAGATCCACAGGGAGGAGGCCCACAGGAAGGGCGGGCTTGCTGTGGGTGGAGTAGGAAGGCTGGGGAGCACAACACAGCCCACACCTGGCATTCCAGGGCAGGAGTGCTGGTCCTGGCCACGTGTGCCATCAGCGCCCATGTGTGTCCCCAGTGTCCACACATGCTGTCAGTGTCCACATGTGCCGTCAGTGCCCGCGCGTGCCGTCAGTGTTCATGTGTGCCCTACTAAGGGCTCACATGTGCTCTTGATGCCTATGCACACCATCAGTGCCCACATGCACCGTCAGTGCCCACACATGCTGTCAGTGTTCACGTGTGCCCTTGGTGCTCATACACACCATCAGTGCCCACGTATGCTCTCAGTCTCCATGTATGTTCTCAGTGCCCACACATGCCCCACACGTGCTGTCAGTATTCATGTGTGCCCTTAGTTGTCCACACATGCCCTCAGTGCCCATGTGTGCTGTCAGCAACACACCCAGCTCTTTCGGCTTTGTGAGAGTGCTAGGATCTGAGTTTGTTCGTTGCCAGCCCTGCCAACTTTCCGTGCCTCGGACTCTGGGCTCCAGGCCTTCCTGCCCTTCCATGGCAGGGCTGTGGCTGGGCTTTGGCTGGGCTGGGTGGCAGCTTCCCTGTCGGGCCGGCTGTGCCACTGCCCGGCCAGGCTCCCCTCCTGCAGCCAGAGGGCAGCTCATGCACTAGAAACAGCTGTTTTGACAATCTGGTCTTGAACTCCGCAGTTCAAGCAGTCTTCCTGCTTCAGCCTCCTGCATAGCTGGGATTATGGCTGAGACTGTTCAGTTGTTCCAAATCAATCAGCCAAAGATACTTGCGCAAACCAGGGCCCTTCCTGCCACAAATCTGATGCTGGCCGGTTGACAGATTGGCAATCTCTCATGTGCTCCAGTTGTTTCATTCAGTGCTGTTTTGGCTGTATTACATCTTGATGTACGTGTATGGCCAGGTGGGAGGTGTTTTGTTTTGCTTCACAGCTGGGTGTTGGTGACTTGTGCCTGTCATCCTAGCTACTTGGGAAGCCGCAGTCAGGGGGATCAATGTTGCAGGCCACGCGGACATCTGTGAGGCTGTCTCAGTGAAAGAGACTGAGGTGTGTGTGTGTAGTACACGTGTGCATGTGCATGTGTGCATCTATCACCATAGACAAAAAACAACTAGCTCAGGAGAGAGCTGGAGGCAAGGCTTAGTGGTTCAGCACCAGTCTAGAAAGTGTGAGTGCCTGAGTTCAAACCCTAGTACAACTATACAAAGAATTTTTTTTTAAACCATTGGTAGCCATACAGGATGGCTGCATCAGGTATGCAGGCTGGGCATGGAGGTGCAGACTGGGTATGGGGGTGTTTCTAGTGGTTTGATGCCTTATAGGTCTCTGTGCTCCTGTTTCCGTGAGACCCATGACTCCCAGGCTGAGGGTTCTGTAGTCTGGGCCTCCACCTTCAGCCCTCCTTGACACACTGGATTGCCTTGTTAATGTGTTGTGAGAGTTGACACTTTGAGTATAGGCGGGCTCAGTGGATATTAAACAGTATTTAGTATTAGCATTGAATAGCTGTCTCCTCCTTTTGCTTTGTCTTTACCCCCAGAGAACAAGCATCTTTCTCTCCTTCCAGAGGATCTAGTAGTGGTGTTTCCATGTGTGCGTGTGCTTTTGTGTGTGTGTGTGTGAGAGAGAGAGAGAGAGAGAGAGTGAGAGAGAGTGAGAGAGAGAGAGAAAGGGACCTGATCAAACATTGAGCCTCAAATCTGACTGGCCCCATCTGGGCTGGTGGGAGCTCCACTCTCTCCTCGCTGTGCCAATCTGTTTCCGTGGTGGCGGGTGGTGACACTGTGCTAAAGCTCCATGGGCTCCCAGCGTGGGCCTGCATATGTCTGCCAGTGTGGGGAGGGGTGTGGCACGGGCCCCCCTAGAGCCCCTGACCACCGGTGGCGGCGGGTGGCCTCAGGGACATGGGCTTTGCAGCCTGCCCTCAGTGGGCTGATCTCCACCCAGCCACCTGCCTGTCCCAGACTCCCTGGCCTGGCTGCCCAGGGAGGGGCCTGAGAGCCAGAGGGGCAGATGGGGGGGGCTGGGGGCAGGGGCGGAGCATGCACTTGGCAGTGCCCCCAAGAAATTTTCTCCTATTCTCTCCCTGCTAGGAGGGAAGGCCGGGACCCCACAAGTCACCCCTGAACTCCAGCATCCAGCAGTGGCATGGAGCCAGCAACTGTCTTTGGGCCAGGGGTTCCGTGCTGCGGTGGCCGCAGGGTCCCCTCCGAGAGCAGCCAGAGCGCGCAGTGTTTTTCTCTAAGTTTTCTTGTCTGTGTGTGATTGGAATGCAAAACAACTTTTTTTCGTCTCTGTCATATTTCAATATTGGCTTTTTTCCCCCTTCTCGAAGCCTCCTTTTATAACTTCTGCTGCGGCTTAAATATAGCCGTCCAAGCCCTCCTCCTTACCAGATTGTTTATATTTTTGAAAGCCTTCTGCTTATCTGTGGCTGCGCCTCTTCCCTCTCCTTCCCACTCCGCCACATTGCCCGTGGTTGCTCTTTTCCCCTGCCTTCCCTTCCCCGGGACGCGTTTCAAATGTGGTCTGTCAAAATGGCCCGTGTTTCCCTCTCCTCTGCAGTAGCTCGACATCTGTTCTTGAACGCTAGCCCACAGCATTCTTTTGGACTCGTTTGCCCAAGATTTGCTTTAGTGCCAGAAACAGAGAAACAGTAGAGGAGAGTGAGGTGGAGGCCTCCCCCGACCCCCCAGGTCCCATCCCCACCCCCCTCCCGCCCCAACCTGTCTGCTTTCTGGGTGTTTGATCCAGATCTGTCATCCCATTGTCTGGCCATGCTCTATCCCTTCTTGGTACTCAGTGAGGTGTTGCCCAGGTTGGCTTTGGGGGCTGCTTGGTATTTTCCAGGGAGCATCAGCAGGGAACAGGGTGGTGGGGAGAGGCCAGCGAGTGGCCGTGTCCGCGGCCGGTGGTTGTTCTTTGGCCTGACTGGGCTGTCAGCCTGGGGCCTGCTGAGGTCCTTGCTCCCTCGGTTGCGGGCTGTGGGCTATGGGTCCGACCATAGAGAGGGCCAGAAGAGCAGTGTCCTGGCGTGGCTCAGGAAGATAATGGTGGTTGTGGGGTTTGTTGCTGTGTGTGTGCGTGTGTGTGTGTGTGTGTGTGTGTGTGTGTGTGTGTGTGTGTGTTTGGTGGCCACAGCCGCATGTCCGTGCTCCTACCATGAGCTGGGAACACCATCTGGACCCATATGGCACAGGCTACTTTGGAATGGCTCCCTGGCCCCAAGGCCAGGGAGGCAGTTGGTATGCAGAGCCCAGCCCAGAGCTCTGCACCCCGGCTGGCCTCTCCTGGGGGCTCCTGGGGCTCCCTAGAGCCCTGCACTCTGGCCATCCCCTCCAGGGGCTCTCCAGAGCCCTACACCCCAGCCAGCCTCTCCTGGGGCTCCTTAGAACCCCAAGGCACCAATGGGCAACTCACTTGTGGAAAGTTCACAAGACAAGCAGTTATTCTTGGGATTTTTTAAAGGTTACTCTTGAAAACAGATTGCAGGTACTGGTCACGAGCAGGCCCCTGTGTGGGGCAAGAGTGTGTAGAGGAGTTTGTGAATGGGAGGATTCCTGACACTGGGCATGGCCCCAGGCCTGAGGGAAGCCCAGGCTGCTAGGCTTGGGCTGCTGGCAGGGCGCTGCTGAGAACGGACCTCTGGGGCCCTGGTGGGGACGATGATCCCCCTGGGGTGTGGGCTGGGAGCTTTCTCTACACATGCTGGGCTTAAAATGGATCAGGTGTGTGGTGTGGCCAGCCCGTGCCTGGGGGATGGGTGTGGGTTACCCTGGCATCACCCCCAACCTTCCTCCGCTTATGAGGAAGCCCGATTATGACCTTGCTCTTCTGCTTGTGTCTCAACAGAGAGAACTCGATGCCACCGCGACAGTATTGGCAAACCGGCAAGATGAGAGTGAGCAGTCCCGAAAGCGGCTTATTGAGCAGAGCCGGGAATTCAAAAAGAACACTCCAGAGGTGAGGGGGGCCCGGGGACCCCCAGCGCGATCAGAACACAGGCCTAAGTGGTCCCTTGGTGACGAGACCAGCAAGAGGCTCACTGCCCGCCCATCCTGTGCCATCCCCTGTACTGCCCTGTACACTGTACGGCTACATGTGCCGTGGTGGCGCCCACGGGGCTGACGAGCCCCGTCTCAGCACGTGCAGGTGTGGGGCTGAGCCTGCCGTGGCCACGGACGGGGACAGGTCAGGCTCTTAAACCCCTCCCAACCCCTGGCCTGTGTCAGGTGTCCTGCCAGCAAAGTCCCTTGTGGGGCTGTGGGCCCTGGGTGGCCTCACTGCTGCCGGGCAGCCGAGTGTGAGGGCTGCAGATGTCTAAGTGTGGCATCATGCCGATATTTCTTGCAAAGCTGACATTTCATCTGGGATGGCCTTTGAAATGCCTGTGTTTCTTGAAATACGTTGGAAAGGGCATTGGGAATGCGCTTTTCACAGGTGGCAGGGCTTTCCTGTCTGTACATATTGGGGACACCGCCCCAAGTGTCCGGCAGCAGTGGCCCAGGCAGTTCCCCAGGTTCCTCCTCTCCCCTGGGTCCCTGCGGGGACTCTGAGGACCAGAAGCAAGCCAAGGTACCTAGATGTGCAGTTGCTCTCTGGAGGCCAAGGGGCGGCCTGGGCCCCCACCATGCCACCCGTTCCCTCCACTGGGTGTGAGCAGGTAGCAGCTATTGCAGGCTTCCGACTCTTCCTTGGGCTACATGCTCTGCCAGGTGGATAGAGAAGCAGGTCTGGAAACAAAGCTGCTTGTGGGAGCGAAGGCTGAGAAGCCGGTGTCCCATGAGGTGGTGTGGCTGTGGAGGACACACGGTCTTGAATCGCTTTGGAAATCACATAAACCTTCAGTGAACAACTTCTAGGGGAGGGCCTCAGCAGGAGATGCCTCTCACCTGCTGCTGCCCCATCCAGGTGTGTGGCAGGGTCACAGGTACTTGGCTCTGAGGAGATGGGGGTGCTAGTGTCCATGCTGAGGTTTCTCATGAGTAACCAGAGCAGAAAGGCTGGGTGCTCAACACCAAACCCCTCCTTCTACTTGCCTCCTACCTCAGGCTACCTGGAGGGGCCAGATCCTTGACTCAGTTTCCCTAGGCTGAACCTTTTCAGGTCTTTCCTGGGACCACCCCAGAAGCTGCCTATCCCCCCATCCTGTGTCCTCACAGTCCAGGGTTTTCCACTGGAGCTCAGAGGTGCCACCTGTCATGCTGGTAGGGTTGGAGCAAGACAGGGAGGCTGGCTGAGGCCGGGGTCCTGGCTCAGGGCCAGGACTGAGGGCTTCAGAGTTCCCCCAGTGGAATCAGAGTGGGCCTGGTGCTGTGGGGGCTAGAGGTAGCCTGTGGCTGTGTGAAGGCCAGGCCAGTCACCGGGGGGCCCAGCCTTGCCTCTGAGCATTTGCTCTGAGTGCCATGTACCACTTCTTACCAGAACACATGCCGACTTTGTCTTCCATGGCCAGTGGGGCCAGAGTCTGGAAGAGGTGGAAGGTGGCGTGTGCATCTGGCCAGCCACCACCAGTGACCCAGGCTGGTGCCTCTTGCTGGCCACCGCAGCAAGGAGAGGTGTTGTGCAAGCAGCGAGGGCAGTGACTGGCAACTCCTGTATTTTCCTCTCAGGGCCATCCTGGGGGGTGGGGGAGGCGGCGGGGAAGGGACCCATAGAACCCCAGGGGACCCGGCTCACTGTATCACTAGCCACAACCTTCTGCCTGAAAATATTGAGGCCCCTTAAGGCCACTGTGGGGTGGGGGTGGGCAGCCATGCCCCAAGGTGCTCTGAGGTACAGCGGAGGCCCCAGTGGGATGTGTGTGTTGGGCGTGGGTGGCTGTGGTCACGCACGTGGCATTTCATGCCGGGCACGTTGTATGGGGTTCCAGTCTAAAGCCAGGATAACTTTCAGCCTTGGTCGGGTCCTGTGATTATCCCACTAGGCTGTTGACCACACAAGAAACAGGCTGCCAGTCTGTGCAGGTTGCATGTGTGGCTCAGGTCCTGGGGGACAAAGTGGAATGGCTGAGTGAGGAGGGGCCTGGGAAGGCTAGAAAGGAGCTGTGTTGCCGAGGTGCCGTGTGGCTGGGGTGCCACGTGACTGGCCAGAGCTCTGACAGGTATGAGGAGCCACAGGACCAAGAAGGAATGCTGAGATGGATGGAACCTTGACATTTTCTTGTTTAGAATGAAATGTGTTGTTGTTTATTGAGGCAAAGTCTTATTATATGGACTGGACTGGCCTTCAACTCACATCCTCCTGACTCAGCCTTCAGGAGTTGCTTATATCTTTTAAAATCTGCATATTAAAAGGTAACTTGAAGGAGAATGCAATTACTTGGTAGAGTACATTTTCTTGGACTCCAAAGTTTTCTTTGAAAGAACAAGGCTTTTTAAAGGTTCTGGTTCAGTATCCCTTCTGGGTTGGACCCATGTTCCCTTGGGCACCGTGACAGGCATTTCTCAGGTGCACCACTGTCCTTACCCCATGCGGTAGCCAGCTCCATGCATCCTTAGGCAGAGAGAAAAACGAGAACAAAGACGGGCAGTTGCACTAACCAGAGGCGGCAGGCATGTGGTCACGGAAATGTGTATGGAACACCTTGCAGGTGCAGACGGTTTGGCCCTGGGGAGAAAGTTCTGCCCATCCTAGAAGTTCCTTACCTCTCACCAGGAATGGCGGGGCTGGAGTGGCACAGCTGGTACTGCTTACCGCTGTCTTTCCTACAGAGCCCTCACAGACAGCCAGAACCCCCAGAACAGGCCCAGACCCCCTGTGTGAACTGGGGTTTGAGTGCAGGGCCTTGATCTTTCTAGGCTGGCATGATACTGCTGAGCTAGGCCCTCCCAGCCCAGGATTTTGCTGGTTACTCTGGGGAGAAGACCTCACTTTCCTCCTGGTGCATGCCTGGTGTTGGGCTTCTCCACAGTGGTTAGAGTAACGGTGCTAAGTTAGCTTCCTCTGCTGAGCTGGAGCCCTGCGGCTTTTCTGCCCGAGCTGGTGTGGTCCTAAGGTCATCTCAATCTCAGCCTCCCATGTAGTTTGGGATGACAGGTGTGTGCCACTGTACCAAGCTGTGGGTGGAGGAGGGAATCTCTAGAATTTCTGTTCCCTGGTCTGCCCTCAAACTGTGATCCTCCACTTTCTCAGCCCCATGAGTCACTTAGATTACCTGTGTTAGCCATCAGTGTTTGGCCTTTTTTATTCTTTTTTGTTAAGTAGTGTGTGCAGAGGGGTCCAGTTCTGTAAGTCAGGTGATAAGTACAGTGCATCTTGGTCAGTCCACCCCTTCCTTTGTTCTCCCCCATCTCCCTCTGCCCCGTCCTTAAGTTACACAGTTCATTTCTTACTTACGTTGAATGTAACAACTGCATTTTCTCACCCTTCCCCCCTTCAGTTCTGTGCCCCCATCCAAAAACATGTTTCTGCTTCTTGGGATTTGTCTTGATACATGATACATGATCCCTTGATTGAGCACACCCGCCTTTCGTCAGCTTGTACATGCACCCGTGCGTAGAGTCCTACATATGTCACCATACGTATGTGTCTTAGATCTAGAAACACATGTGCTGTTGGTCTCTTGGAGCCTAGTTTACCTCACTTCCTGTGACTCGTTCTAGATCTGTGTGTGTGTGTGTGTGTGTGTGTGTGTGTGTGTGTGTGTGAGAGAGAGAGAGAGAGAGAGAGAGAGAGAGAGAGATTGTGGAGCTTGAACTCTGAGCCTGAACACTGTCCCTAAGAGCTTCAACTCAAGGTGAGCCCTCTGCCACTTGAGCCACAGCGCCACTTCTGGTTTTCTGGTGATTAATTGGAGATAAGAGTCTTGTAGACTTTCCTTGCCTGGGCTGGCTTTGAACCACAAGCTTTAGATTTCAGCCTCCTGAGTAGCTACAATTGCAGGCCTGTAATTTTCTTTTTTAATGCCATGCTGGGGATGGAACCCAGGGCCTTGTAGATTCAAGGCAAGTACTCTGCCAAAGAGCCACATCCCAGCTCGTGTTTTATGAGCCAGGGTCTCACCACACAGCCCCGGCTGCCTCGGCACCCGGTGTTGACGAGCTGGCACCCCCCCTTCTTCCATCGCCAAGGAGATGGGAAGCTGTGGTGTTGGGAGCTGTTGGAGGACAGCCTGTGGGCTGTGACCTCCTGTCCCCAGTGTCACTCACCTGCATTCCCCTCAGGCGTATTCTGTCTTAGTTGACCATTTGGGAACACTATTCAAGTAATTTTTTTTGTTCTTGTAAAACTTTTTTTGGCCTTGAAAAATAATATGCTTTCAATCTCTTAATGTGAACACCGCAGACTTTTTCTCATAAAAACTGTTTGAGCCAGTCTCTGATGGCTCACGCCTGTAATCCTAGCTACGCAGGAAGCTGAGATCTGAGGATCATGATATAAAGCCAGCCCTGGCAGGAAAGTCTGTGAGACACTTATCTCCAAAACTGTAAGTGGCACTGTGGCTCAAAGAGGTAGAGTGCTAGCTAGCCTTGAGCAAAAGAGCTCAGGGACAGCACCCAGGCCCCAAGTTCAAGCCCCATGATGGACTAAAAAGAAGAAAGAATTATTTTGAGCTAAGGGATTAAACATTGTTTTTTTCCTTGAAAAGCTGAAGCTGGAACCCAAGGTCTCATGAAGGTGAGGTCAGCGCTCCGGCCGCTCAGCCGTGCTCCCGAGCCCCCAGCCTCTGGTCCCGTCTGGCTGGGAACCTGGCTTTCTAGACACTGCTCTCCATTTCTGCTTTCTCACCCGGTGCCCCATGTGCCCAGGTGGGAGGGTCAAGCTGAAGGAGGAGGCAGGGTGCCAGGACTCCTGGCTGGTGCACAGGCATGCCAAGGCCTGACCCCTGGGCAGAGACAGCTGTCCTGGCCACAGGGCTGGGTGGAGGGACAGGGCCACCCCTGGTGTGACAAGAAGCTTTGGGGAGGGGATGGGGCGAGTGTCTGTGCTGGACAGCAGGTTTCCTGCTGGGCCGGGCAGTA